ACTATTTAATAAATAAAGAAATAAGCTTTATTAAAATTAAAACTGAAAACTGTCTCAATTGATATAATTTATTTACAGCAATTAATAAATTTATCTTATTACTTTTCACGTAAGAAAGTATTCTTACAGTTTATCGTATTAAGGAATCACTAATACAAAAAAATCAACTGGTATTATACTGGCTTATGGATAAAAATGAAGATGGTCCCAAAAGATCATTCATAAGAGAACAATTGATGGTAGTTAATAACAATGTAGAATATCCACCTAAATGAATCCTTAAATTATTCTGAAAAATAAGCTTCGCTCTACTTATCTATAAATACATCTTCAATGGCTTCCTCAATTTCTGTTTCAGTCATAGATTTATCTTTTTTGGATAGCTTATAATAAAGATTATATAAATCTTCTACACTGATAAGTAGCTTCTTTTACCATTTTCTATATCTCGAGATTCTTTTATTATATGTTTCATTATTTGAAAATAGTGTTATTGTGATATATTTTATATACTCATCTTTGTTTTCAGAATTACACAAATTTTTTATATAGGAAGCATATTCACTAATAAGCTTACTATCTTTTCTATATCGAAGATGAAAGACTTCTTTTATTATTTTAATTTGTGCTAATTCAATTATTTTCCATGTAATATCCTGCATTGTTAACTCTGAGTCCTGCTCATTTATTAAACTTGAACTAATATCTATCATACTTGGTTTATACTTATTTTGTATTTTGTTTTATATAATATAAGTTTTATTTAATACGAGTTTTATTATTTAATAAAAAATATCGTTTCTTGTTAACAGTTATCTTCTAAATGAGTTTTATAGCTTACTCATCTATTATCAAAAACTAGTCTTCATCAAATATATCTTTTATAATTTGAGATGCAATATCATCCTCACTTCGTAAGTTAACTTCTATTTTATTAATTTCAATTTTCGGATATTTACTCACTAATTGAGTATAGGCAGTGATTATCTGTTTATTGATATAGTCATCAAGGTCGATTTTGATTTCAATTTTCTTTAGTTTCTGTAGAGTTTCTTGACTGAAATAATAGGTATGTTGTACAACGATTTTTGCCTTCATTTAATAATGTTAACTTTGATGTTGGTTCGCTTCACTTAGGGATCTATCTCGCTTCAGATGATCCCCCTGCTGTGAGCACCAAGTGTTATGATGGTGCTAATTTGTAATAAATTAATAGAAGAGAATTCTCTCTTCTATTTTTAATGTAATTAGAATGTTTCTTTATTATAATTAAGTTATATTTATTTATTAGTGATGAAT